ATGTTTGAGAAATGTATTAATTTTGATGTCTGTCCACCAGTTCCTACGACTGGAAATCCTGTATTTAAATGAATGGTGTGTTTGAACTGATATTATATTAAACGACTGAATGATTGGAAATGAACGCAAAGTTTGCTTTAATTTTATAATTAGTTTATGTGTCGATCGCATCGCACGGGTCGATGCCTCTCATTGATTAGATCGTAAGCACAGGTATGTTAAAAAGTCCTTAACTTTTGCAGGGAAAGGCTGTTTGCGTAAACGCTATGTATGAATAGAGATGGCAAAGAGATTTGTCGCTTAAAAAAGTTATTTTTGTGCAAAAATTATAAAGTTTTTCGTTTTAAATGTTGTGATTATTTCGCAATATATCACTATATTTGGTGGTGAAGTGGCTATAAATACCTACACTTTATTAGATTATGTAAAGATTAGACACTATCTAAACATTGGTGTTATGAGTGTTATGATAGCATTGGTTATGTAGTCGTGTAGTCAATACATAGTAACATAAATTTTATTGGCATTGATTTGAATGACTATTTTAAGTGCTATTCATAAGTAGGCAGAGATTTTCATGTGACATAACTGTGCTGTCTATACACACATACATGTAATACATACCTGTGCTATCTCTCTGTGTAAGTACCACTGGTGCTAATGATGATTGTATCCGAAAATAGGGCACAAGAATCGCTTGATCGCAACGGTTCCACAACACCGACCGGACCGGAGCCGACGGCTTTCATAATAGCGCTGGACTTCGACGACAGTTCCCCGAAGAAGAAGATGAACATTAAGGACAGTATCCGTCAGTTCGCACCGCCGAAGCCCGACTCCATCGAAAAGCAGCGACCGGTGCGGTCGGCGCCCAGCGATAGTAACCACACCAACAGTGACGGCAATAGCAGGAGTGGTGCGAAAGACATATTCGGTCGCCGAAGAGGTTCAGCCAATGAGTGCAAGAATCAGAAGCTATTGAATCGAGTGATGGATAGCGGCGGTGGTGGTGACCGGGGCGGCCATCTGTCCGATTCGGCCACTTATCTCATCAATCGTATGCTATCGTACGCCACGGCTAAGGATAAGACAAATGGCCGACAAGTGAGGGCTAACGGTGTGGCGGACGCGAAGAGTAGGCCTCAAGAGGTTGAGTGGAGGGGAGGCCGTGGAGGTGGGGGTGAGAAGGACAGTGGTGTGTCCGATGACAATAAGAGTGAGACGGGTACTTATACGGTGGCCGTGGATGACGACAACGCGGAGCTGGAAACGGCGCGCAAACAGATTGACACGATTTTTGGCGTTTCCGACGATAATATGACGGTTTCGCTGAACTCGTCGCTCGCGTCGAGCCTTAATTCGCCGACACTTCTCATGAACATCGAGGACAGTGTCGCCAAAGCGAGACAATCGCGCGACGGGTCGGCCGGTAAGGGAGTGGCGGCTAAGGCGCCGGTGGCCAGCGATAGGCAACGAGTGGTGACCAGAGATTACGACGAGTTGTCGCAGAGTTTGGCGAATAGGGATCACAACTCGACGTTCACGCGGACCAAACGCCGGCCCCCGACCGTCGAGGAGATGCTCCACCAGAATGTCGACCATTTCAGAGACAATAAGCCCGTGAATGAGCGGAAAGACTGTTCGCTACTGAGTAGTAGTGCCGCGAATAACGCGTTGAACAATAAGAGTGTAGTGTCTTATAGTCAGCACCAGAGGAATGATTTGTCGAAAGTTAGTAATAATAACAACCGAAATACGGCTAATAATAGCAGTAATAAGGCGCCGGCGGTGAGTGTGTCGGCACCGTCCACTCCGCGCTCGCCGTTTATGTCGCGAAAAGTGTTTGAATTGAAGTCAAAGGCGGCGCCCAAAGGACAGCCGCCGGACGGTAGTCGCCGCAAGAACTCGTGGAGTCACTACTCGGACGCCGACACATACGAGTCGTATCAGTCGGACGACAGCACACACAGCAGTCACCGGAGCTATAACTCGGGGAACGGTAGCACATCGTGCGGGTCGTCAGTTCCGTCCAAAATGCGGTTCAATCGGGCGTTCGCTCTGCGGAGGGCCCGACTCGGCATCGATACGCCCGGCGTTGAGCTCAATGTGAATAAAAGCGGCCCAAAAAGCTCGGGCGTGTCGTCGACGACGTCCAGCGCCGGTAGACAAGCGACGCCTCAGAAGCCGGCGACCAGTAGTGCCGCGAATGGGTTCAGCCGTTCAGATGGCGGCCGATTCAGTCTCCGGGTATCGAACACTGCGACAAATAATTTACGCAAAAATGTGCCGCAAATGAACAGAATGTCGACCTCTCGAGAGAATGTCAGCCATACTAATGGTGTGCTGCAGCGCAAGGGCAGCGACCCTACCGGTGCTCAGTCTGTGATAAACCCGTGGAAATCACGGTCGGCCGCGTCCGACACGGATCGCCGATCGATGAATAGTAACGCGAATCGTGTGAACAATTGGAGCACTAGTTTACGACAGGATATACACCGGCATTACCTCCAGAAGAGCCCCTCATTCGCTGATAGGAATAAAACTGCCGGCGCTGTCAGTGTGACGAGAGATCCGCCCATTGGTTTGCCGACACCACCGCCGGCCAGACGCGTGGCACCCGTCCGCAGTGTCCCGCAAGTGGGCTATCAATCCGAGTCGGCGATCCCCTCATCACCACAACCCTCGCCGTCACCGCAACGCAAACCACCCGTAAGTCAGCAAAAGGCGGCCAAACCGGGCCTCGAGTTGAGTGCGTTGGACGGGTTGGTCGTGTCGGCCATCCATCAGTTGTCGCAGAAGTTGCGGTCAAACATGCGGTCAGTGTTGGAGAGCCAACGGCCCAAACACGAGGCCAACAGCGACACGGCGTTCATGATTGACGAGCTGTTGCCGCAGCTGTCCTCACCGGACAGGCGGTCGGCCGCCGAGAGTGGTGTCAGTGTCAGCAGAGATCTGTCGGCAGTGCTTAAGAATCTGAAGAAATTGGAGCATAGCTTCGACGGTATGTATCGATCGGTGGATGTGTTGTGAAGCCATGTGTTGAGACTACTGTTCCCCTAATCTGTGGTTTTGATTGCAGTTTTGAATCTAGCGTTGGATCCAAACGCACCGCCCCCTCGACGACAATCCAACGCCTTCTTCGTGGTCGACGTCTGAGGAGGCGTTAAGACAATCGCTGCCCACCAGTGATCGCCGCCTACGGGTGCACCGCTGAATAGGCCGTCCCCCACACTCTTCTCCTAATTAATTTTTTGTATAAAATATAGGTTTTTAACGATTATTATTGTATAGACACTAAGAGATGACTATTTTTGTATAAATTGCGCCAATCATTCACCCATTGGACAGCTTTTGCGCAACTATTTTATGACACATTCATTATAAACACATGTCTGAAAGGCTTTTAAATTATTATTTTTGTTTTGTTTACTATACAGACATACATTTTACACATTATACAGAATACTACCACATATTATAAAAGTTGTTATTGTTTTTTAGACATTTATATCGCGAATGATATGATATTTTAGTTTTGTATAAAACAGCTATTAATGATTTTTTATAGATAACCAGTCATTCGTCCCATAGATATACTGTATAAATACTACACTTATTATCGCAAATGTATTTGCTATGAATGAATGATTATTATTATTATATACTTATTTGAATGAAATATTTATGATACAAAAATGATAAGTTATTTTAAATGCTAAACCAATCAACTGATGAATGCGTTTACAATCCATGACTTAATAGTTATCAATAAATTGTGATTTTAATTGACTATAAATTGTGTTATAAATTGACTTTTGAATGGCATATAAGGCGTGTATATTGACGGTCAGCGACACCTGTGCTGGTGAGCCATCGCTGGACAAAAGCGGACCACTTCTGCGGCAACGATTGGTGGCTAAAGACTATGTGGTGGCGGACACGGCTATCGTCGCCGATGATGGCCTACAGATACAGGTATGCGCTCGCGAAGAATGGTAGTGTTGAGTGTAAAGTCTTTAAAAAAGTTTTGAAACTACTGTTCCCTTTCAAAGGAAACACTTCGCAAATGGTGTGACACTACGGGTGCGGACCTAATCATCACCACCGGTGGCACTGGCTTTACAGCACGCGATGTAATACTCTGTTTCATGTCCAACGCTAGAGATAATGTATTTCTACGGTATATATTACCACCGATTAGGTGACTCCAGAGGCCACCAAAGCTATTGTGGACAGGGAGGCCCCGGGTATTACATACGCGTTGATTAGCGGCTCGTTGAAAGTGACACCAATGGCTATGTTGTCGAGGTATGAGCTCCCGGTGCCATAGAATTACAATTTATTAATACAAACTTTCTTTTATTCACAATTAAAATATAATTTAATTCCTATGAATGGATTCTTAGGTTAAGCGCCGGTATTAGGGGGTCGACACTCGTCATCAATTTCCCCGGAAGTGCCAAAGCGTGCGACGAGTGCCTGACTATTGTGGAGCCGGTGTTGGGCCACGCGATCGACCAGTTGAGGGCTGACACCAGTCGCACAGCCCTAACGCACCAACACATCCAACAGCAGCTCAAGAGTAGATCCAATTATCTTTAGTCTCTAATTAACTATTTGTTAATCAATTCGATGTTACCATCGAAGGCAAAGTGCAGCTCAAGGGTGTGGGCTTTCGGGACAGACACTCGCCGTACCCCATGATCTCGATGGACGCCGCCATCAACAAGATTATCGCCGAAGTCGTGCCCATCAAAGACACTGAACTCATAGCTATTGACAATTGGGATCAACTCAATCATCGCGTATTGTCTTCCGATATCTGCGCCGCTGTGTTAGTGTCCACCGCTCACGAGGAATGATAACTCGAAGAGTTTTAATGGCTATTATCTGTGTGTTTGCAGACCATTACCACCATTTAGGGCTTCCGTTAAGGATGGATATGCGGTGATAGCAGCTGATGGTTGTGGTGATAGGAAAGTGCTGTCGCTGGCGGCCACCGCTGGCCAGTCGGTGGAGACCATACAACTCACACCCGGCCATTGCATGCGAATCAGTACGGGAGCGCCGGTGCCATCGGGTTGTGATGCCGTGGTTCAGGTCGAGGACACCAAGACTGTGGAACTGACACAAGTATAGCACAACTTTATGGTTCACTCAACTAATCATCTGTTTGTCTCTCCAGAGCGGCGAAGAGTTAGTGATATCTATCGAAAAGGCGCCCAAAGAGGGTCAGGATATACGGCCAGTGGGTTGCGGTCAGTGGCCATACAATACCAGAGATGTTATCATTGAAACAGTTGTTTGATTCCCTATCTTGCGGTCTATTTTCATCGACACAGATATCGCATGCGATGGCCAACCAGTGGTGAGTGCGTCGACACAATTGGGTTCAATAGAGTTGGGACTCTTGGCCTCCATTGGTGTCCATCGGATTCCGGTCTTCAGGCGACCCGTTGTGGCCGTTATGTCGACCGGCGATGAGGTCTTCACACATGGCCTACGATTTCCATCCGATTTAATGTCTAAATAAGTTTTGCTATCAATTCAACAGATCGTGAGTACGGGTCAGGCGTTAAGGGCCGGACAGGTGTGGGACTCGAATCGACCCGTTCTTCTGTCACTTCTGCGCCAAAATGGCGTCCAATCCGTAGACCTGGGAATAGCTGCGGACGACGTGCACGACGTCTACAGACGTATGCGAAGCGGTTTAGAGGCGGCGGATGTGCTCATCACTAGCGGCGGCGTATCGATGGGGGAAAGGGATGTCCTGAAGCCGGTGATGGAGCGGGACTTCGGCGCCGACATACACTTCGCTCGCGTGAACGTAAAGCCCGGAAAACCCGTCACATTCGCCACATGTCTCGTCAACGGCTCCAAGAAATACATTTTCGGTTTACCCGGTATGTCGTCCCCACCATACCTGTCCCCCCCATAGCTACCGGTGCTCTAGTATTCACTGATTCGCGTATATTTGTAGGCAATCCCGTCAGCGCTTTCGTCACATTTAATCTGTTTGTGAAGCCATTGCTGTCGTGTCTGTCCAACAGAGACCGTGCGGTCACCGACTCGGAGGTGGACATCAAGACCTACCAGCGCTGCCAACCCGTGCGCCTCGAGTTGGCCTCAAAAGAGCACCGTTTGGACGACAGGCCGGAGTTGGCCAGAGCTGTGGTCGCCTACAGCGCGGGCGCAGGTATGCCGACCGCTCGTCTGACGGGTGATCAGCGCAGTAGTCGACTCCTGAGCGGAAGGGATGCCAACGCTTTGGTGTTATTGCCGCAGAAGTCGCCGTCCAATGAGACGATTCGCGGCGGAGATATTGTCACCGCATTCCTCATCGGTTAACACCAATCGATAACTCAGTTTTTGATAATAAAAACCATTTTCTAAGCATTTAATGAACGAATGAGACGTTGTTTGCGGCAAATAATCAGCAAAACGGACGCAATGTTTAGCGCGGGTTATGTCCACCGCTTGGCTGAGGGGTCGGTGTGGGAGGAGGGGTGGCCATGGCGTCCAGCGCCGCCCGTAGGCGCGCCCACTCGGCCTCCGATTCTTTGGCTTTCCTGTTCCTATAGGCTGCGATCGCCCGCCACATGTCGGCCCTCTCGACGGCCTTCCGGACCTTCATCTCCGCCCGACTCAACCGCTCCTCCAGTTGTCTGCGAAACGAGAGGTACGAGTGGTCAGCGTATACGCGATCGTATGATAGCATACCGGAGCCGCTGTTCCCTATCGGCGGACGATAGTGTCGTGTCGTCTTCGGTGTCGTCGTTTTCGGAGTCTTCGTCCGACTCGGAGGACGAGTCCTGTCGTCGGCGCCGTAGCTGTCGGTCCGACAGGCGTTTCAATCGCTTCGTGAGAACCACTTTAAGGAGTGGGTGTTCGGTGTGTCGGCGCCGGTAGCGAGCGAAAGGCGTTGTAGTGGTGGCCCCGACACGTGGTATGCGATCCCTGTCGTGGGCGACGCCGGGAACTGCCGCTGAATACCTGTCCGTCACGTGTTGTCCGCCGCAAGAGTCCAGAGTTTTCGGCTGTACTTCCGACACACTGTCCATCAGTGCCATCAACCGTTCAGTGATGAGTAGATCTCAGCGGTTGGTCCGCAGAGTTGGCCAACACTTCGCCACTAATGTCTTCAATGGACTCATAATTGGAGACAATTTGTGGCAAACATTGAGACAAATGTCAAAACAAACGAAGACTTTGTTTACAAACAAAACGTAATCAAAAAACAACGTTACGCTCACTGGAGGGGTGTTTGCATTGCAAGTAATGGAACCCTTTGTGAGTGACTTTCACTATAACTCTATGAGAAACCCCTCTCACTGTGTGTCATATAAACACAAAACACAACTTTTTAGGGGCAGTCGAGTCCCGGGAGTGCGAAGCAATGCGTTTACTACTCCCCCGTTGTGTGCATTGTGTGTGACGTACGAGTGGTTTGTGTTTTGAATTGCATTTACGGATCAATTGTTGAGACAATTTGTAGCCAAACAATGCGACCAAACCTCAGGAACCGCTTCATCCACCGATTGGTGACCCGTCGATATCATCGCCAACGAGACTATCACTACAGTTGGTCTCACAGGGCGTCGACAGTACGCGCGAAGGACCTGTTGGTGGAGGAGGTGTCCGGCGATGACGGTCGCCGAAGACCTCATCACCGATGGGTCAGTGATAATGAGGACAGACATCGAGAGGCACGCCATCGACAGCACCGGTATTACCGCCGAAGATGGCGTACGCGCCGTACGACTGATGATCGGCGGTCGGCGTCACCGAACGGATTCACCGATGGGTCAGTGATAATGAGGACAGACATCGAGAGGCACGCCATCGACAGCACCGGTATTACCGCCGAAGATGGCGTACGCGCCGTACGACTGATGATCGGCGGTCGGCGTCACCGAACGGATCCCAAAGCAGCCATTTTGTGGACAATTATCTCTCGCCGAACAATACGGTGATCACTGAGTGGTCGACCACTGCTTCTACCACTACTACTCGCCGGCAAACTGCGGAAGAATGCGAGTCCGTGTCGTACGAGTCGTCGTCCGAGTGGTACGAAAGCAACGGCGCGTCCGATGTCTTCGCCGGCGATGCAAATACTTCGGACACAATCACAAGCCGTGGATCCGGTGAGGGATTCGATTGCATTGATGGCGAATCCAGTGATACAGACGTCGCCGGCAATGGGTTTCCGATCAACGGATCCACTAATCGTGTGAATTGTGGCGACAATTGTCTCACATATAGTCCGATGAGCAGCGAATCGGACACCAAATCCTATGACTACTACTTTCCGACACTTCTAACGGCAAACAGATCTCAAAACAATCGACACTTTTTCGATAGCGAGAGCGCCTCCTCTGGAAGTCCTCTTTTCCACGCAAATAGTGCTTACTATCCATGGATGGTCGGAGTCTATGGCAGTGATGTCGGGACCCATGGATCCAATGTTGGGAGCCATGGATCCGATGAATCGGACACCGATTCAGAGGCAACTCTAAGAACTCCTTTTGTGGACAATCATCAGTCATATGTGGATCCGATTACCAATCAATTGATTCCCTTAGAGTGTCCCGAAGTATACTATTCTCCCACCACTACAGACACCTCCGACGACAATGGTTTTCTCAGTCATTGCTTCTATGATAACAATACTTCTTCGAGGCATCCATTGGACGACATTCACGTCGAGAGGAATGAAGGGATTCAGGGGTTTCTGCCATCAATACGATTGCCTCAAACAGATGTCTTGGAGTCAACGCCAATGCCATCGAGCGATGAGTCCATTGGGAGTCCGGATGGGAACCAATCGGAGGACGAGTTTATGGATAACTATCAGCGAGTGTTCGACAACGCGATAAAGAGCTACGAGATTGAGGGCCAAGAGTTGACCGCAAGGTTGAGACCGTTGATCGGCGATCACATGATGGAAGTGTGCCATCGGTTCCAGAGGTTGATTGTCGCCAAGAGGTCACCGCTTAATAGGGAGTGGATTACGAGTGCCATTCATCGCAGGCTTAGACACTGTGGACGTAATAGTCATTCAAATTAGATGTTTAGTTAATAATTCATTCATTTATTGTGTATTTAATCCATTAAAATGTCTTCATTTATGTCTATTTATGATAAAACTGATGATAACTTAATTTGTATTGAAACTTATGTTTAGATAAATCTATTGTATAAATAATTTAATACTATTGTAAAGTATAATCAATTTATAATTGAATTGTAGATTAAGTGTTGAGTTTTTGTAATTAAAACTTCTGCTAATACTGTATAACACACACGAATTAATGGCATTCAAATTGTATAAACGTTTGATAACTTTTTAATAAATTAAATTCATTTCAATTTTAAACCTTGTTTATGAAAATTATTCTGAAATTCTCACAAATTATAGGCAATTCCGAAGGAATATCTTAAGTTTCATAAAAAAATAAAATTAATATATTATATAAGAATTAGTGTATGTACACAAAACTACCGGTGCTCTAAGCAAATGATATATTGTGGAAAATACATGAAACGAGAATACATATTTTTTTGTAAATAAATTAGAATTAAACTTGATTATTCATTTAAAAAATGGCATCTTTTTTCAGAAATTACAATTAAAATTGCAAACATTGTCTCATTTGTAGTGAATATCACTTTATTCATGACATGTACATAAAATCGCGAATTTGAATCCATTTATTAATAGTACACTAAACTTATGTCTAATTATGATAAAACTGATGATAACTTAATTTGTATTGTAACAAATATAACAGAATGTCATTTATACCGACATTTTAGTCAATAAGTAATTATGGAAAAAGTTGTAAATAGGTAAGTTCGATGATTGAGCAAGCTTTTCAAATGTCGTAGTATATTCTGGATCAGTTGCCAGAATATTCTTATTAATGGACCAATTTTTGTACTCATTGTGAGAATAGTTATACTGATTCAACACGTGCTGGCATTCCGGCCTATTATCCGGTTTACTATCGACCATTGAATACAATGTAATCTTTAATTGAAATGCCGGTGTGTTTAAAATGTGGTTGCTCTTTGAGTAAAGTTGCAAGCTAACAAACATACATATTAGTTGTTGGGCAGGTGTATATTTAAAAGTTTAATTACTTATCTAGATCCAAATATTGAGCATTCATTTTAAACAATTCACCGCCAATTAGTGCCAAGCTATAAATATCCGATTTGTGGTCATAGGAAGCACCACCACTAACTTCCGGTGCGACATATTTGGGATTACCGACATCAACGGTGTGCTTGTATATAGTTTTTGAGTGAACCTCATCATTGTGAACGGTAGCCAAACCGAAGTCACATAACTTAACAAATCTACCGTTCCTTCCGTTCTCGTGTATTAATATGTTTCCCGGATTGAGGTCTCTGTGAATGATCTGTGGATTCAATTCATGCAAATACTGAACACTTTCTAAGATTTCTTTAAATAATTCACACGAAATGAAATACTCGACACAATCCATGGGTTCATCCAAAGGACGGCTAATTACTTGGTTTTTTAGTTCATATATATCCAGAAAGACACTATTTTTTACTTCAATGATCTTGGCCAAACTATACGAGCAATACTCCATTTGAATGTACAGGTAGTCCACTTCCAACCACGAATCGTTGTACTCGACCACATACTTTGAGCGCACTTTTATCATGCTCTCAACCTCTTTTAACAAGTACAACTTAGTTTTTGCATCGAGTTCTATTTTAATAAACAATTAATTTGAATATACAATACTAAATAAAATCAATTTCTAATAAATAAAATATCCTGATATATTTACCTCTAAATGTTTTATCATTAGGAATTTTTTTAACAGCGTAAACCTTTTTATCATTTCCTTTAAGTGTGACTTTATATACTGTGCCATAACTCCCGCTCCCGATTATCTCATTACGGTCCACAAAAGTATTGTCATAAAAATTTAATCTATCATTGATTGTATCCGCGTTAGTTTCGCGTGTTTTCTTAGACGTTATATTGAACTCATTTTCGTAAAATTTATCTAGATTAATGTACCGAGTTTTGAACTTGTATAGTGTAAACGGGTGCATAACTCTATAAATGACTTTATTTTGCACAAATGGTATGTAATCAGTGCACTTGAATGAAGTGAATTGTGGCAAATCTACATCATCGGTCTTATTTATATGAGTTATTTGTACCGGGATAGCTTCATCAAACTTTTCAAATGTAGTATATTGTTGTTTACCGCAGCAATAAATACTAAAACCTGAATCACCATCACCCAGGAAGTAGCTTGTACATTTAGTCGAACTAATGGCCGTTATATTGTTTAGTTCTGCTATTTGTTTACCGAGTTTTAAGCGCACCAATTGTGGCGTAAATACACAAAGTGAACATGGTGAATTCTCGTGTCCCAATAAAAAGTCACCATTATAGCCCCAACTATACACACGCCCGTCCATGGTTATGGCAAATGAGCAGCAATTATAGCAATAAATATTTTTAATACAGCAATTAGTATTAAATAAGAGTTTAGCTTGGTAATCGACAATCTTGCTATAGCTAGCCCCGCGACCTACTTGACCGTAACTATTGTCGCCCCAACCGTACACCTGTCCATCGGTGGTAAGGGCCAGGGAGTGTTGAGAACCACAACTTATTTGCTTAATACACTTGTCATCAAAATATGATAAGTGTCGGGGCGTTACGTAAACGCCATTTGGTGTCCCCGAGCGGGCTAATTGTCCCCTCTCATTGTGACCCCACCCGTACACGTGTTCTTGAATATCGACAGCCAATACAAAATCCTTTCCATTAACAAAGTACTGGATCATTTTATGGCATAACTCGGGTATTGCTTGCGGCAAATCGACGATATTGTTGTGACCCAAACCGAGGTTTCCCTCCCTATTAGTGCCCAAACCAAACACTAAGTCATCTTTTGTCACAAATAGTACATTATTTCCATCGAACACGTGACATAAAACTATAACTTTCTTAATATTCTCGTGAATATTATCACAAACTCTAAAATTATCAAAATTTGCAGTCATATTACGATAGACACTAATTTAATATAAATATTACAAGTAGCAAGTAAACGATATTTATTTTAACATAATCAAATATTTAAACAAAATCATTTATTTTGCATTTTATAGTATATGGTATGGGACTCTCCTAAAAGACCTAAAACCGAAAAGACCTAAACTCAAATAACT